AATGACTTCATCGAAGAAAGTCATAACAACGTCATGCCGATCATAAGGTTTACGAATGTAGAGCGGAAAATGGACAATTTTTCGTTGAAATTTCATCGTGTACGGCGAAAGGTTTACTGGCGTTTATAACAAAACTATACTGCACAACGCCAAATACGACTGAAGCAAGTCCTGAAAATGCATTAAAACCTATGCAGTTTACCGTTGTTGTATGCATATGTTTCTGATATGGAATTTGATGAAGATTCCATACTGACACACGAGTGAAACTCCTTCTCTGCCAATCCTGACCCAATGTTTTTAAATTATGCTGTCACAGGCCTCTGACTAACTCGTACGCTGAAAAACAACTTCACCAGCAAATTTAGATTAATCACGTGTTTGGGCATGGAAGGCCTCGAAATGTGTCAGCTGCCTTATGCTTCGCGTCATCGATACGAGCTCTGCTTTGGTATCCTGCCCATAAATATTCATGGGCGGGGTTTTCGGCTAACACACACTCCCTCTATCTTTGACACGTCGGAGTTTTAAATACGACAAGACCAGATCGTGTAAACAATTGAACACTTAGGCAGTATACGTTTTGGAAAAGCTGTGCCAGCTCTCTATTGTCAATGTTTAAACTGTCGCCAATCAACAGTAAGTTTGAGTGAGCGCGAGATGCAAATTGTGCATTTGTTCGCATATGTGCAAGTCATTTCAATAAGCAACGATCCATCGACCAACTAAAATCTTAAGTGCAACTCCAGATCTCATTCCACTGACCGCAAATGTCGGTCCAGCTGCTGCTGCTGCTGCAAAAGCCCGGAGAGGCCAGAAGCTGTTCCAATTCCTCAGGCTTTTCGTCGTTCTCCTCCTCCTCATTCCTAGCGTTCAAATGCAGGTCCTCGGTCTTCATGTCCTCCACTTTCAGCATCTGGAAGTCCGGTGATTCCTTATATATGGGAAGCGAAACCAAAAGATTTATTCATGTAAAACCTGAAAATGGCAACCGCGCACATGCCATCAAGCCCAATATTATTGGCACGTATTCGCAAGCCTCGTCTGCTGCTAGTTTTTATTGTAAGCCGATGAATACTATGATATTAATACTGCCGTTTGAGATGATTCATAGTCTTCGAGGGTTTTCATCCTCTGCGATCGACTAGTTTGAGTGCGACCATGGGGCAAGTAGCCGAGAATACATAATCTGGAAAAATGAGTTTGGATTCAATGGGATTCAGGTCGGGGTAAATGATTGGTTTGAAGAAGGCGTTCGATGACATTGAGGTGTCTAGGCATGGCCTTATTTTTACTGATCCTTAGGAAAACTGACTGACAAGTTTGTTTCCTATGCAGAATCTGAGTAAAGTATTTTCCAATTCGACATGTGCATATATTTTGCTAGCGAATTGCATTCGTGGTTAACATAGTTCCACGCTGTGTCGGGAGTCGCCATGACCTGCGACGATAACGCGTCGACGCTACTTTTGTATAAGCCGACCCATGCCCTTCTAATTGTTTTTAGAAGGAACATGTATTTATTGCTGTCTGTAAATAAAAATTTGGAATCGACCGTGGGTAAAAATATTTTATAGGTAGCAGCATAGCTCTCAGTATACGCGATCGATCAGCCGTTAACGATAACGCACTGCCAAGCCAAAATTTACAGTTGAGTTTGCACGTTTGATAGTGTTATGCCTTTAGTTACATTATGGTTCAAATATCGTGTAATTTTCATAAGGAAATTTGACTTTGTACTTAGCATCTATTTGTCACGTTATTTTTGGATTATTAAGTGGATTTAGTTCTGACAAACACATAAGTTAGGATAGCCGTCATCATAGTTAAGTTTATTCAGGGTAATGTGCATTAATTTTGACGAGATTGGGATTCGTCTTACATCGAAATAATTTGCTGTGCTATTCAGTACGACAGAACCAAACTGTTAATGAATATACATTGTCCTATAAAAGAAATACAAAGCGAGCAACAAAAGTATTAGACATATTTTTTTCAGAACCTGAAAATTTTGTCGGATGTGGGCTTGACCACGTAACATTTCAGTGACCGCTAACCGCCAAAGAAATACTGACGTAAGCAGTCGTCGTAAGTGCACTTTCGGTTGCACACTTGTGGGCGAGTCATTGGACACGAAAATGTATGCAATCACGCCCTCGAAGTAACACGTAGAGACAATGCTGTCCATATGCACGTCATTTGAATGCCACAGTCATATGCAGGCGATGGCATATGCACAGGAAGGCGGCAGTGCACTTCCGGACAGGCAGAGAGCCACGCAGCCAGATTGATTTATAAACACCTGAAAGATGACCAGCCTTTCGTTACTACTGCTGTTGGCTGTTGCGCAGGCACCCGTATACCAGGCGTCGCTGGTCTACCGGATGCTCGTAGTGGACGATAATTAAAACACATCATTTTCGCATGATGATAGACTGTTCGAAATCAAGTTAGCTTCACCTTTCTTGTCCAGCTGATAAAAAAATAATATTAACAATCTCCGCGGATACGTCTAAGGCACCACGCACTGGCAGTACATTCAAAGTAAACAGCACATGCCCAGAGTTGGGATAAGACTGCAGCATATAACACATCAAATTCTTTGGTGCAAATCTCTTAATTTACTGAGGGCGTATTCATTGCCA